GGGGGGGGAAAAAAACCCAACAAAACCTAAAGCTTTTGAGAAAGTCTAAAAATGGAGCCCATCACGAGCGTACGCATATGTATCTTGAGCCTGATCTTACCTTTAGGCCCATTTGAACAAGTTTTAAAAAAGTCTTAATTCCAAACTTTATTAATTCAACAACAGTAGACACTATAATCTCCTCCTGTCTCCTAACGTATCTCACACTGCTGTGTGCTGTGTGGGAGATGTCGTTTGACTTCAGTAAAGCTGACCTCTCACACAGAATCCTGCGGGACTGAAAGTAACATTAAGTTACAATGAGTTAACACCATACAGCCACCAACATACATACGGACACTAAGCCTGACTTACTGAGATCATTTCAGAGTTTAACTCTTAAACATATTAAAGATTCTCTCGTGCTTTTCAAAGTGACGGTTTTCCTTCTCAAAAGGCAGAACGTCATTGAAAGTCTCCCTCAGTGAAAGCAGGATTTTTCATGTTGGACAACACTCAAATGAAGAAGTCCTTCAACTCAACTGCCATGATGAGAGTACTTGTAATTTCTTTAGTAGCCCCTGGAATGAGTACTTATACACAGGTCAGCCTCTATATAGTTGTACTGCATCTCTGTGTAACAACAGCATTTACACAGATTACACAGATTATTATGGTTATGCTTATCTGGCAATATCAACAAAATCACAGTGTGTTCTAGTCTACTTCATATTTAATGTTACATTTCTGTGTCCTTAGTAGATGACTGCAATGTTTACACATGCACAATATAAGTTTGAGAGGATAAACCTCCCAGTAGTTTGAAAGTGTTGTGGTGATTACAGGAATGATCAGTTTTCACCTCTGTTACGCATAGTTTAACTTTAATTGGGGGAGTTCAATAAAGCTCACTTGAGTCTTTTAAATAATGTTTACATCAGTTTTGTGGATGTTTTACAAGCTTACTTAGTCGAGTGGCGGTAAATGTTTCTAATCCAACAAGCGTGGCAATGTGCCACTGTCAGGTTCAACTTGGCTAACTTCAAATGATTTGGTGGTTGGATATTTATTCATGGTTTCATGCACACCTCTCTAAAGTGGGTTATGTTCTTTACTCAATCAGGACTCGAGTGGTTTAACTAGTTTTTTGTGTTCCAGGCCAGTAATCCGGAGGAATAAATAATCTCAATGAAGTGTCACACGTAGCTGTAATGGTGCATTCAATTATAATTGTTTTAGTAGAAATGTAGAATAATGAGTGTTGGTGACTTAGGAGTCCTCTGGACCAGCGTGTCTCAGACTTCTGCTCACCCAGCCAGATAGGAGCTTTCAGTTATCGCCTCAGTTTTCATTTGCCTCCACTGTATCGGGGTGTCTGCAGATACCTCAAGTCCCCAGCAAATAAAACCCAGGTGAGTAAGTGGGAATATGTTCCTTTTGTAATTTATGTGAACTTTGATAAAACCTAGACCCTTTTAATAGTGGAGCAACAGAAAACCAATTAATATAGTGAGTGTGAGATAGCTTCTTATTGCAGTGTGAGAGGCTGCACTGCCATCTGCTGGCAGTGCCTGTTGATCGTTGCATGCAGTCTTTTTGCCTTAATGAACTGAGTAAACGACGTTATCCTCGGATCAAAAATATAAGCACAGTTTCAGACACAGTTGCCATCTCAAACTCATATAGTGCTAAATGCTTTTCCGCCGTCCTTTTAGATTAGAGTTTTGTCAACCCAGAGGCTGATAGTAAAGAGTCGAACGTCAACAAATTAAATGACAACAATGCAGTAGGCCTTCTACACTTTAGATAGAATTTTGAACTTCAATTTAACCCGCGCGTGCACGTTCTTGTGTCATGCACCAGTGCGCGCGGCCGAGAGAGCGAACCTTGTGTGGTGAGCAGCAGGTAGTTGGTGGTTTCCGTTGGCTAATTTTCGATAGCAGGTGAGTCTATTTTAATATACTTTATGGCAGAGCATTAATGCACAATTTGGTCGGCTGGCGCCCGCTTACCTTTAGCTGGCGATAGAGTTTACCTCTTGTACGCGACATTTTTTGTAACGTTTACGAAGCTAACGCTAGCCAGCTAGCTAGCTCGCTGAAGTTTAATGAATGTAGCTGCTAGCTAGCTAGCTAGCGCTAATGCCCGCCCAGTGCTTCCACCGCGGGGCACCGCCTTTAGTGTCGATGTTATGATAGTGGAACAGAAAGGTGAAGTTGAACATAAAGAGACATATGCAAATTTCCAACTTCACTAAGTGAAACTTATATTCTTCCATCCTGTAAGCCTAAAGTTAAAAGTTTGGGCTTTAGCTCCCTCCGAATTTCATGCTATAAAAAGAGGGAAATAATTCAGCTAACAGTTTATGTTAACTATTGATCGACAAGTCGGCTAATCTGTGACACTTTTAACTTTGTTCTTAAATTATGACAAGGTTTCCCTAAATGTAACGGTAGTGGAGCAACATGCACATTGTGTGTAACGTTAGCTTGTTAACATTAGTAATGTAGCATTGTAGCATTATGCTAACGATAGCCGATGTTTTTTGAAACCCTAGAAATAAGTTTAACTATATTTATGAGAAGTCTGCCATTTAAGATGCTACATCAATGGAAATAATACGTGTGTCAAACTTCATATTCGTGCATTTAAGTCACCCTGACTGAGTTGGTCTTTTTGGAAACTATTTACTCTTTGTTTATATTTAAATTTGATATACATTCTTGTGGGTTTGAGCAAACCGTGACCGCCCAAAATGAGTCTTTGAAGAAGCCAGTAGTGTAGAAAGTGTGTGGAGTCATTACTGTTTTTTTTTTAGGGATTTGGTTGATGTTAGTCTTTCACTTATTATTGCTTCCACTTATGACGACTCTTATGAAAAAATATATATATTTTTTTGTTATTATTTAAATACTCGATCATGAGCTTTTATTGATAATAATTGAGATTATTGATAATCTGAAGGTAGTTAACTGATGATCTGAGTGTTTTTTTCCCCCATCTTTTCAACAGACATGGATAAAATAGCAAAATCTCCAACAAAAGAAATGTTCAATGGGCTTCATCTAGCAAGGCCCTTGAAACCTCTGTCTATATATTCACGGATGATCTTTTCTGAGCAAGAAGCCAGTCTCCAACAGAGAAAGTCCTCAAATCCTTTTATAAATTTTAAATTTGAAGTTGTAAACAAATGTTCCTGTAAAAGAAAATTGCAGGATTCCAGTTCTGGTGATGATTATGAGACTCCAGCCAAAAAGGCCTTTAGTCCAACGGATTTGTCCCCAGACCAGGGGTGTTTCGTTGACTACTGCAGCCCTCCTGCATCAGACGACTCGGTGTCACCTTGTGCTATCTCGACGCCTGCATCCTTAGATAAGACACAAACTATTAAGAGTGAAATAAGAGCGAGTGCCGGTTCCCAGCTCCACTCGGAGCATGTGGAATGTGGGTCCTCAACAGAGCCGGGGGTTGATGAGGAGTCTGTAGCACACAGTTTGAGGTGTGGCAAGGTCCTCTTAAATCTTTCATCTGCCTTCGACTGTGATGTCGAAGACATCTTGTGTCTCGATCCCTGTGGCAAAGTAGAGGGCTGCCAAGGTCCAAGTAGCAACGCATTTCAAAATGATCCGTCTCTTATTGTAAGTGGGCCAGCATTGGAGTCTCATAACTCTCACGTAGAGCCTTTAGAAGGTGATGCTGAAGAGGCATGGAACATTGGTTCCCCCATATTTGAGTCGTCCATCTTTCAAGCGACACTCGGTGGAGAGGAAGACACTATAGACACCAGTTATGAGACGACATTACCGCTCCAAGTCAAGGTAAGCTGTTCACCAGGAGACACTGATGATGTGGTCCTGTACACATGCAGTCATGGGAGCTCAGTTGGTACTAATATGTAGTGTGAATACAGCATGTTCACACTTGTGCTTTTTCAAGGTGAAGTCAGTTGTTGTGGTTCCCAGTCAGCTGGCCTCCAGCAGCAAATCAGCAGCACCTCCTCTGCAGGAGCAAAACACCAAGCCTAACAAGCCGAGCCCAGATGAGAACAGATGCTCCACGAGGTACTGTAGTAGCCTCTGTCACTTCTCTAGGGGGAGCACCAGGACCATGTAAAACACAATGTGCAAGTTTTGGCTTAATGACTGTCAGGATATCTACATCTATACCTGATAATAGTCTCATATTTTTTACCTATCTGTCTTTCTTTGTCAATATGCCCATACTTGAGCATTGTTTTGTTTCCACTAGACTTGTTAGATTGCTGTCTGAAGCGTGATCATGTCTTGCATGGCTGAATTTGGCCTGTATAGAGATATTGTCTCTTTCAGGCCGGAGGTCTTTGACAGGGAGGGGGACTGGAAACGTGAGGAAGAGCTGTATGTCCACTCGGTGAGAAGACAGATGGAAGAGCATCAAGGGTCCAGTCAAGGTATACTGACCTATAAAGGAATGTTACACAGCAATGCTTTGATGACACATTAATGTGAAAATATATATATATATAATGGTATCGATAAAAAGGCCATTTGTGTTTCCTAAAGACGTCATGACTGAGCTGCTGACCTTGATGGACCACGTGGCTGACCAGAGACCAGGCGCTGATGGAAGACAGTGGCAGCATCCCACCGACCTCACACGCAGGTACAAACATTCTCGCTGTGTTTCTTTTGTAGTTCTGAAGACGTGTGGATGTGATAGTAGTCCTGAGGCAGACCTGTTTTAGCCCACGTGAAATATGTGTCTCTGGATCTGTGCTCACTTGTAGGAACTACCAAAGACGGTTTGGAAACGTCATTCCAAGAATGACCCTCGGTGAATGGCAGTCCCAGAGCTGTCCAGAACACGAGCGCTTTGCCAAGGTGCCAACATTTTTCCAAAGGAGTAATTTTTCCTAAATTGGGAGTGGACAATCTCGTTAGCCGATTGCACTTAAAACCTCATAATGCTGGACTCGGTGCGATGCAATCTAATGTTATACCAGGTATCCATGTTTGCACGGTTCTTCTCTCTCAGTTGAATCTGTGCTCTGTGTGTTTTTGGTTTGTCTGTTTCTTTTCTTTCAACTATGCATGTCGCGTATTAGAAAATGAATGCATGTTTTTGATGTTGTGGAAATTATGCTTAGGAATAAGCACTCAAGGGTTTCAAGCATGTCAAATGCCTTGCATTTTTTTACTATATTTGAATCTATGCATGTTTTAATGTGTTTTTTGTACTACTGTTTGAAATGTTCCACTTCCTTTGTTGTGAGTGCGAATGTTTCCCCCATTCATGTTTACTCTGTGTGTGAATAGAACCGTCCAGGCCTGCACTGACGCGTCTCTCATCTGTTCCTGTTGATTTCTATTGTAACCTCACATCTGTTTCTGATCAACACATTTGGCAGGCCTATTTGGATTACATTATATTAAGTGTTCCTGTTACGTAGTCCATCCTTGTAGAACTTGTCAAGCCGAGTCTAAATGTTGGAGGAGAACCAGTTGGTCTAAAGTAATTTGTTATGTAAATGTATATGTAATCCTGGGAATGTTATGTCCAGCCCTGCATACAAACCTCTAGAGAGTCATGTAAATGAACATCCCTTCACTTACAACTCAAAGTCGAGGAAACTGATACAAATATTGGATTGCGTCTTTTCATGACATGTCAGTCAATCTAATGTGGGACTTATAATGTGATTTAATGTGTTTTATATGGGGGAAGGCTTAAATTGTTTGTTTTGTGCCCCACCCATTGGCACGGTGTTAGCAGGAAGTGATTGTTTATTAAGGTCAGTTCACCCTCATCTTATTGACATTTTGCAACCATACCCTAAATTGTAATGTAAGAATTGTGTCCCGACTAATCTGGATAGTCCACAGAGCTCTGGACGCGTAACTACTTTTATTTTACCTTTTGGAATAAGATGTCTGCCTTTGAGCTCTTTCAAAAGTTAATGTCTGACCACAAACACAATTCCTTTGTGCCTCCTTTTTGTGAGGTCAGCAGAAGTCTCTGCACTTATTTGAAAACCTGAGCAAGAAGCTAAAACAGGACCACGAGAGGTTACACTGTAAAAATGTTTTTAGTTATTTTTGTGAACTGACCTTTGTGTTATCTGAACTGAAGTTGTCATTGAACCCTGTAACACTTAACAAAAAGCAACGTGTAAGTGCCACAGGCGTTGAGTATGTCAGACGGCGCTGATGGAAGCGTTCTACTCAATAAAGCCTGGCGTGTTCAACACTACAGTTGTCATCCCCTCAGTTTTTCTCCACAGCGCTTTGAGTGCCGTGCACAGGTACGGGCGGACAGACGTGACCCCGGGGAGCCCACGTACACGGAATCTATCAGCACAGGTCCCATCTGTTGAATAACGCAGGCTGTTAAAGTATTCCTGTCTGCACAGATAGGCAGAGGTGTCTCGGTAAAGGCCTCGTGACACATGCCGTGTCAGACTGCAGGGCACGTGTACAGGCCCCCCCCAGCAGTGAAGAAGCCGTTTGTGTTTACCTGACACGCCTCACTGTTCTTCTGCGGCTGTGTTGGGTTTTGTCAAAACAAGAGCGCACCGACGGAAAACAAGACGGAAGTGGTGTGCACTGGCTACAGAATCTCCCCCCCCCCGCCACCGCCTGCTCAGCCAAGCGGTCAAGTCAACTATTACTCTCGTGTTGATGCATAGATGCACATAATCTAATGTGGGACTTGAGTCCGATCCAACTGATTTGTTGTGTTTTTGCTATTTAAGTTTCATTGGTTTTTCAAAGCCATTCCAAATTCAGCCACGTTTTCTTGCACAAGCTGCTGACTCGACGGTAAATGTAGTTGCTTGGAATCATGTGGTTTGGGTCAATGTTTCAGAGGATTCTCTTTCTCAGGCCAAACAAACTCTATTCCTCTCCAGTAACGGTAGGTCTATGCTTTTCTTGGTGGAGGAAGCTCTGGACAGTTGCAGCCTGAGGTCCACATGTATTATTCAGTCGTCTTTGGTTCTGCGGAAGAGAACATATTTCACCACCCTGACTTTTTGGGCAATCTCATGTTTTAGTTTGGAGTGTCACCACTTGATGCAATTGTTAACAATTAAGATCAAACAAACTTGTGGAAAATATTAGATATTTTTATTTTATTGAAGCATACACAAGAAAGCATACACCATGTTGTTCCTAATTTGAAGTTGTGTAAACTTGTGCATAATAGTTGAACCATGCTAGCCCTCATTAAGCAATGATTCCTGTAGACGTCACACAGTGAATATAAACATGGTAGCAGTAATAAAGCAGTTCATTTTTCCAAACCGTGCTTCTTTGCTGATCATTCCTATATTTCAAGAACCCAAAATGAAACGTGTTTCAGTTTCCAGCCATTGTTGTAGTCTATAGAGGACACCAGACGATTGAGGGCAATCATTTGTTCAGATTCAAGTTCATTATTAGCCAGTTGATGGAACAGCCATTCAGAAAGTAGACCAGACATCCTTATAGAAATACAACAAACAGAATTCAAATGATGGGTCTGACAGTCATATTCCTATGGGTACCAGCACAAATTGGGGTCAAAGGAAATGTAATGGCAGATAAAGCTGCAAAAGTGGCCACAAAAAAACCTGCACTAATGTTGCAGTCAGCTTCAGTAAATCAGAAACAAAAAGTATCATTAAACAGAGGTTGAAGGAAAGGTGGCAGAAGCAATGGGAAGAAGACAGGAAAGGACGATGGTTTTACCGAGTTCAGAGGAAAGTGGGAGAAATGAGATGTGCAGGAAGGAACAGGAGAGAGGAAACGGTAATATCAGGCTTAGATTTGGACACACTGGCCTAAACAGTATGCTTCAAAAAATAGGTAAACAGGAAAATGCGACTATTGTTGGCAAGAGGAAACAATAGAACATGTTATTGTGCAATGTCAGAAATATGAGCAGGAAAGAGGGCAGCTGATTGGAGACCTCGGCAAGATGAAGGTACGGTTGGATATAGTGGATATATTCTGCAAAAGAAGTCAAGAAGTGAGTGTTATCAAGTATTATACCGTGGCTCACTGGGTTAAGAGGGTTGTTTGGTAACTGCAGGGTCAACGGTTTGATCCTTGACTGGGACGTGTCACGTGTCGAAGTGTCCTTGAGCAAGACTCTGAACCCCTAACGGCTCCCCGGGCGCCTGTCATTGGCAGCCCACTGCTCCCTATATACCGGGATGGGTCAAATGGAGAGACAAATTACCCCTTCTGGGATCAATATAGTAAAAAAATATATATATATATTTTAGTTTTTTGTTTTGTTTTGTTTCTTTTTTCTTTTCTTTTCTTTGAATTTTTAAATAAGTACTAGACATCCTGATCCACACTCCATACCAGTTGGTGGCGGTAATGCACCAATTCATTGTTTGCCAACCGCCAATAAACCTCAAAAAAGAAAGAAAGAAAGTGATTGTCTGCCCCGCCCCTGATTGAATCCTCCTGTGTCTAATCACCTGCACCTCCCAAGTGTATTTAAACCCTGTGTGTCCCTTGTGTCAGTGTCGGTTCGTCTGTTGTGTGACCTGCGGTAGTTAATGGTATGTTCCCTGGTTTGCGCCTTGCTCTGCACTTTCATGTATGTATCCCTCTTGTTTGTTTTCTAATTACCTTTTTGGGGTTTTGCCCTTTCCTTGGATTTCTTTATTGTAACACATTTTTGGACTCTGCTGCTCTGCAAGTTTTGTTTTGGACAATTTTTTGTTTTATTAAAATCACAGTCAAATGTTGTTCTAATCCTGCGTCTCTCTGCGTTTGGGTCCATCCCCTGCTACTCTTCTTGCTTAAACCCTGACAGTTGGAGGGGGTCTTGAGGAAATTAAAAATAAAAACTTATAGCAATTAATTATATCTTCAATGCGACTCCTCCAGGTGAGCTTTTGGTCGTATTCCGGCTTATGTTGAGATACTGTGTGTTTGCTGAAAGTGTTCAGCGACTAATGATAATATTGTGCCAACAGTGACAACACCCTCTCTGAAGCCTCTATAAGAAAGCAGCCTGTCTCGATCAACTCCAACACAACCCTGCTCCTGCGACAGACACCAACATGCTTCTGTTCCTCTTCTTGTTTGGTCTGGCTCTGGGTGCTGTGCCTCCTCCTGATGACCATAAAATGAGTCTACAGAGGGTCGGCTGTCCCTTGTTCTGGTACAGCTTCAACGGCCGCTGCTACAAGTACCTCGCCTCAGACATGACCTGGGCTGATGCAGAGATCCACTGTGTCGGAGAGGGAGCCAACCTGGTGTCAATCCACAGTCTGCAGGAACAGAAGTTTGTCAAATTCCTGATCAAGAACTTTGACCCTGCTGAGGCGTGGACCTGGATCGGACTCAGTGACATCCACAAAGAAGGAACATGGATGTGGTCTGATGGGTCTTCAGCCAATTTTGTCTTTTGGCATACAGGACAACCAACCAACTTTAAAGGACGTGAGGACTGTGTTCACACAAACTTTGGCAGAGAAATTAAATGGAATGATTTACCATGTTCTCATAGATTACAATTTGTTTGTGCATCTCGCACAACTTGTCCTTAGTAACTAAAAAGGTTATGTTTGATTGAACTCTGACTTTCCACCTGTTCCTCTGTTATTATGCATAAAGCCTGAACAATAAAGATGCAAAATTGTTCACAGAAGTATTTTCATTAATCTTCATTTTCATGTTTGACACTAACACGGGTCATTTAAATGGTGGGTCAAAGGAAATATGTATAAACATTTGGAATACTTTTTTTATATTTTTTTTTCTTTTTTATTCCTTCCTCATTTAGCAAGATGGGAATCTGACTGACAATATGGGCAGGAAAGCTCCTTTTCTTATAACTCAATCAGGAATACAAGGGACTGTTTGATGGTGAATGTATTGGTGGTATCAAGAGTTTAGAGCTTTCCTCCAAAGTAAATCTCAGGGCAAAAATCAAAGGGAATGACAACTGCTTTATTGACCTATGATCAATCACTTGTCCATTGAGCAAGTGCCTGTGTCATGGAGGGATAAGTCTATAAAGTTTCTGTTTCAGCTCCGGCCCATTGTTTGCTACTAGGATAATCTTTATAAGCATTATTCCATCAATGACTCTATAGAAAAACGAACACCAGAGGTCTCCTGAAGGTGCAGAGTTCAACAACTATTGATGAATATTTATTGCTCGTCTTTTTATTTTGGAGTTCAGGTTAATATTTATCCCATCGCTCCTCATGCACATTTCTCATTAGACTGTGATATTTCTGTTCGAATAGATGATAATTCTACAGTTTACTGTTAATATGATTGTATATATTTCTCAGTAAGAAATGCATCATTGAGTCCTGCAGCATAGATCAGTGGTTTGTTTAGGGATCACTGCATTTTCTTTACCACAGAATAGAATGTCCTTAAAATAGGTAAAATGATCACTGAGGGAGTATCTGTGTACACAGGGGAAATGCTGGCAATAATGTTAACACTACAGTGGATAGAGGACACAAGACTGTTGGGAACGTAAAGGAGCGTGTTTGATTTTTAGCAAATATGAAACTAAACTATCAACATCAATGGAGTTATTAACATCAATAAGTTAATTAGTAATTGCTAATAAGAATGGGGCACCACCCTGCGGACAGGGACCAATAACCAAACTATAAGCTGTCTCATAATTAGTGGTCACTCACGATATTAACAGTCTGAATACTATTACACGTTTGGAGTGCGAGTGAAGGGTTAAATTCGAGCACAGGCCACTACATCCAGTTATTATTACACACTTATGCACAAGTAATCACAGACGACTGCTCTTTAAAATATAACAGAGTTTATTAAATCAAAATAATAAATGATCAAATCAAGTAATATCACAATCAACAAACACTATCATACAATTATGTGTCTAATACCTAAACTCAAATGAATAAAGTGGGGTAAGGATATGTGTATCGATATATGTACATGTATGTGTGTGTGTGTGTGTGTGTGTGTGTGTGTGTGTG